TAGTCTCCATAACTTTCGGGAACAACGCCGATAAAATGGTTCTTGGTTGCCGCCCATGTAACAACTCTGCTGGCGATTTATCAGTTGCTAAGTTTGGAGTAGTTCTATACGTTGTAAGATATTTATACAACGCTTTGTCAATATGTTGTTCCTCTTTCATAATTTTTGTTACTGCTTCCTTAAAAGTTCTCACATGTCTTTCCGCTAACCCATTCGAAGCCGGATGAAAAGGTGCAGACGTGAGGTGCTGAATTGTGTTCATTTCACAAAACTTTTGAAATTCATTGGACGTGAATTGTGTTCCGTTGTCTGTCACGATAGTGCACGGAAGACCTTCGATAGAAAAAATTTTTTGTAGAGCTCCAACTGTTGTTACAGCTGTTATTGTTGATAGTTCCACAATATATGGAAATTTTGAATATGCATCCACAACTATGAGCCACATACGTTTAAAGAATGGACCCGCGAAATCCAAATGAACTCTTTCCCACGGCCTACTAGGTTCTGGCCATGCAGAAAATTCTCGCTTTGGTTGACTTGCACCTTGTTGACAAGATGAACAATCATCATGAATACGTTCTATGGCTTTATCAATAAGAGGAAACCACACATATCGTCTTGCCATCTGTTTCATACGACCTTTACCCCAATGACCCTCGTGTAACAAATTTAATACTTGAGATTGCAGTGCTTTCGGTAGCACCACTCTAGTATATTCAGCCTGAAGAAGTAACACTCCATTCTGAAATGATAAGCAAAATCTGCGATTAAAGTACGGTTTGATACTACCTTCAGATTTCGGCAATTGTTCAGGCCAGCCATCTTGTACATATCTGCTGACACGTTGAAGAGTGTTGTCATTAGCAGTCATATCCTTTACTAATGTTGCATTTACTGGAAGATAATCCACAGCATTTTGATAAACAGTATCGACATCATCTAACATCACAACTTCCTTTCTATCAAATTGTATGTCATCCCCACACGGCAATCTGGAAAGAGCATCAGCGTTAGCATTCTGAGATGAACTTTTGAACCGTATAATGTATTCATATGCTTGAAGTACAATAGCCCAACGCTGTAAACGATGCAACGCCATCACTGGCAACTTTCTATTCGGATTAAACAGTGTTGTCAATGCTTGATGATCAGTTATTAATTCAAAACGTCTTCCATAAAGATATTGATGAAACTTGGTCACTCCATAAATTATTGCTAATGCCTCTTTTTCGATTTGAGAATAGCGTTCTTGGCTGCTGTTTAATTTTTTTGAAGCATACGCGATTGGCTTCTCTGAACCATCAGCATAACGATGTGAAATTACTGCACCTATTCCATACTTAGAAGCATCTACTGCTAACACTATAGGCTTCTTATCATCATAATGAACGAGTTCCGTAGCTTTGATCATAGCATTCTTCAATGCTTGAAAAGCATCTTCATGATATGCTGTCCATTTAAACACAGCATTCTTTTTCCTTAGTTCATTTAAAGGAGCAGCTAATATGGAAAACTGTTTAATGAATTTGTTATAATAATTAACTTTTCCCATGAAAGCTTCAACTTCTTGAATATTACGAGGACGCGGCATTAATTTGATTGCCTCTACACGTTTTCCTGTGGGCATTAATCCATTCACATTGATTACGTGTCCAACATAATCTACCTGCTCTTGCGCAAAACTACATTTTTCGCTTTTACATGTCAAGCCGTATTCTTCCAAACGTTGAAAAATTTTGAAAACATTATTCAAATGTTCTTTATTATTTCGACCTGTTACGATTATATCATCTAAATAAACTGCACAGTTCGGTATTCCAGCGGTTACTTCTTCCATAAGACGTTGAAATATGCCAGGAGCACTGGCAATACCGAATGGCAGTCGTTGAAACTGGAACAAACCAAATGGCGTATTAATTACTAGAAGTTCTTTTGTTGCGTCAGACAATTCTACTTGCAAGTACGCTTCACTAAGATCAATTTTTGTGAAAAATTGTCCTCCTTGAAGTTTATAAAAAAGTTCCTCAACTCTAGGAATTGGATACCTGTCAATCTCAATTTGCGAGTTCACACCAATTCTGTAATCTGCACAAATACGTAATTTTCCATTTGGCTTTGACACTACAACTATAGGAGCGGCCCAGACGCTGCTTCTGATAGCTTTCAAAACTCCAATATTTACCAACCGATCAATTTCGATGCGAACGTCTTCTCTTTTCGCAAACGGCAGGTTGTATGGTTTAAAGAATTTAGGCTTAGCATCTGACTTCAATCTGATTTCAGCTTTGAACAACGTACAACGCCCCAATTTCGAAGAAAAAATGTTAGCATGTTGACATCTGAGTTCATGTAGAGATGCGGTTAAACTTTGTTGACTGTCACAAGGATTATTTGCATAACATTCAATAACAGGTAACTGCAGTTTGAAATTTAATACTGAATAAGAATAGCCTACTATTCAATTATGATTATACATTTCCAACAGCATGTAATTTGGAGTATTTACATATGGAGAAAACATCATTTATATATAATGAGAAAAGCAGTGGGCCGAGGATTGACCCTTGTGGAACACCAGTAGGCAACGATTTAAAATTCGAATAATTATTAGCAGAGAATACAGTCTGCGATCTCACTGTTAAATAACTATATATAAATTTAGAGGCAGAGTACGAAAACAAAAAATAATTAGTTAATTTCTTACATAGTATGGAATGATCAACACGATCAAATGCTTTAGAGAAGTTTAAAAGACATAAAACTGTAATCATATCATTATCATAGCTAGGTCGAACGTCTTCTAAAACTTTAAGCATGGCAGTAGAGCAGCTATGACTCTTTCTAAAGCCAGACTGTAATGGAGAGAGGAGTTGGAAACGCTCAAGATGAACATTAATTTGATTAGCCATTAAAAGCTCGCAAACTTTGGACAGTGATGGAAGAATACTAATAGGTCTGTAATCACAAGTCAACGAAGCGTTAGACTTCTTCGGAGTTGGAATAATTTTAGCCTTTTTCCACATGATAGGAAAGGTTGACGTTGTTATACAATGATTAATTATATGTGTAATAGGAGCTATTATGTACGGCAAAGTAAGCTTTAGAAATTTGAGAGGAAGGTTATCCAATCCAACGGCATTTGATTTTATATTCATCAAGCTTTTACAGACTATTTCTTCACTAACACCTATAAAATTAAACCTCTCACTGGAAGTACATACATTAGAAATTGGGAATGTCGAAGAGATACTTTTACAATTTACATTAATACACGAAATGAAGTAATCATTTAGGTCATTTGGACTTAGTTCACAATGTGTTGTACTATCTTGCTTTAATCCCAAATGTTTAATGTTCCTCCAGATATTCTTTGTTGGCTGTGTAGTGTCAAGCTTAATATTATAAAACGCCGATTTAGCAATGCTTACTGCCTTCGCATCCAGTTATAGGTCGAAGGAAACTTTTTCCACACTGCATGCTTTTTGTTTCTGTAATTTATCTTTCTTTTAATCTGAGGGTTTAGCCAAGGACAGGAGGAACTTTTAATAGTAATAGTCCGCAGCTGAACAAATCGATAAAAAAATTGACAAAATATATTATTAAATTTATCTAACTTATCGTCAGAAGTTGAAACAAACCAGCAATCACTCCAATCAACAGTATTTAGTTCATCAAATAATCTGATAGTATCAATTGATTTAAAATCTCTGTAAGAAAAAGAGCTAGGACTAGATTTCCTGTTTGGGTTAAAATCCAATGTAGCAAACAATAAATCATGATCAGATATAAAAGAGATTTGCTCAAATAGTAAGACTTTATTAGGATCCGATACAGCAACTATATCTAAAAGACTAGGTCGCACACTGTTACAGTATCTAGTTGGTTCAGTTTCGTTAATGATACTTAGGCCCATCATGGCTAATAAGTCTTTTAGTTTCAGGACTTTACTACAATTCACTAAAAAGTCATACTTAAAATCACCAAGTACTGCGATAAAATCATTATGTACAACTGAGAGAAACGAGTCGAATAATGGATCGCATGAGAATCTGTTATTTGGATTGTAGACACAGGAAACTAAAATTTTATTACTATGACAGCTAATAGATACACAAATAAATTCAATATCTGATTCATCCGAAGTACTTATTAACTGACTACTCAAATAAGATTTGCAATAAATTGCAACTCCACCTCCTTTTCTGTTTTTTCTATCATGGCGATATAAAACATAACCTTTTATAGAAAAAAATGAGCTACTGATCTCATTATCTAACCATGTTTCAGAAACGCAAATAATGTCAACACTGGAGTCTTCAAACACTGATTTTACATGATCAAGTTTAAGACCATTTAGGCTTCTAGCATTAAAATGAACTATATTGAAATTATTATATTGAGCACAAAGAATGTTTATTAAGGTTTTATGATCATTCATGATTGATAATTAATTTTATCTGCCTCAAATTTAAGTCTTCGTTGTAAAGTTTTACAGTTCATATCCCTGCAATCATGATCTGTAGAGATGTCCTTGAGATTACGTGTTTTTATCATCTTCACGCAGTTTATACATTTTACAATGCTGCTTACACACTCTTTATGAGAGTGCCCAATTTCACTGCATTTTGCACAAGTCACTCCATTTTCTTTACATACACTTGCTTTGTGATTGAAGTCCCA